GCTAGAAGCTCATACCAGTAATCCTAGCCATTCACAGGGCTTAGATCTGAGAAGCACGGTTCGAAGCCAGCCCAAGCAGGAAAGTCTGTGAGACTCTTAGACCAATTAACAAGCAAAAAACCCAGAAGTGAAGCTGTGGCTCGAGTGGTAGAGGGGCCGCCTTGCTCTAAAAATCTAAAGGGCAACTCCCAGGTCTGAACTCAACATCCTACTACCAGCACCAAAAAAGAATAAAAATAAAAAAATTAAAGGTAATACACCGGAAGGAAGGAATTAGAAGTGTTTCTGTGGGGCAGATCCTGTTTGTGCTGGTGAAACTTAACCAAACAAAAAGAGATGCTGAATGAAACTACTCTCAATTCTGCACTTCACCGAGGCGCGGACTGATTTACAAATCCCTGATCCTACAACAGAGCATTCGTTCATCTGCTGCACGCGCGCGGTGAAGTCGGGTTGGTGGTTCGCAGGCATCAGCAGCGAGGCCGCTAGAGGCTGGGCGCTGTTAACTCCCGCCAGGACTAACGAAGACCAGTGCTAAGCTCCTCACGACGAGGTGAGCGAGGAGCGGGGGTCCGGGCCGGCTTCCTCCCCGCGAGGCCGCTAAGCTCGCCTCTCCACCTGCCCCTCTCCTCCCGCTGCGTCAGCGGCGAATAACCGCACAGAAAGCGGCCCCCCGACAGCTCCCAGGCAGAGGCAGGAAGGAAGAAGCGGCCTGCGGGGTGGGGAGACCCCGAGCCCTCCCCACTCCCCTCCACCGCCCCCCCCCCGGCCTCGCCACCGTGGGAGCTAGACCCGGGGGCGCCGGCGCCGAAAGCCCCTCTCGAAAACCGCCAAGCACCATCCTAGCCTCACTCGCGACCACCCTCTGCGCCCCGACGTACCCCAAATTCATGGCCAGACCACTGGTTCTCTTGGCTGGTGGTTGTGGTGTTCTATGGTGGCCGGCTCAGCTCAACAGGCACTATTCCGATTGGATGAAGGAGGGCCAGCGAGCTAGGAGAGAGGACCAATCAGAATGGAGGAGGCTGGTGGGTTGTTGTGGGGGGGGGGAAGGAGGGGCTGGGGGCGCAACCCTGTGGACCGGGTTGAGCTGGCAGTTGAGACCTCTGCTTGTGGCAGTTGCCAGCCTTCAGAGAATACCTCAGCTTGAGTGCAGTTGCTAAAACTGGGAGGAACAAAAACTGTAAATGCTTTCATTTACATTCCTTATGCGCATGTTATCTTTGCAAGATTTATTTTAGTTCAACAACCACAACACAAGGAGGCATATGGTGGGTGTGTGTCCTGCTGTGAACCTGACCTCAAGCTGGACACATTGTAGCTCTTTTAAAATACTGTTGCAAGAGGTTGAGGAGAAGGTTGGAAGGGATGACATTGATCAAGATGCACTGTACTCAAATTGCTATGTTGAATTGAAACCCCTTTGTGTAACTAAGGATAAAGGAATGTTTTAGCAGTAATCACAAGTGCTCAGTAATATGGGTGTTTGTGCAGTGCACCAGACACACATCTAAATGCTTATGGCTACTACTTAAGCCTTTATAGCATCTCTGTGTCACAAGGAGGTTAAGTAACTTGCCTATGGCTACTGTCTACAGAACAATTTAAAACCAGAGTCTATGTCTCCATCCAGTGTTGTGTGAGTGTGACTCACTTGTAAAAATTACTTCCTTCAGGAATCCCTTCTGAAATATACGACTTGGGTAGATTATGCAAGTGGAGCAGTGACTCAACTGGTATAGATCGAGCCTTAAGTGAAACAGCTCGGGACAGTGCCTAAACACTGAGTTCAAGTCACAGAACCAGCAGAAAACAAAAACCAAAACTCTTGTGAAAGGATCCTTCATGTCCATTCCAGGGGAGCACCGGAGGCAAGTAGGCACAGGGGAAAGATTATAAGGATTAATGGAGGAGCCATAGTTCCCCTCAGAGGAAGCACATGGCCTCTGTCCCTATCCAAGTAGCAGGAGGGTCTGGGGACAGGAAGTGAGTTGAGTGGGGGCTCAGGTGGGTCTGAGAGGAGAGAGGGAGTGGCCATCTGTAGGGCAGGAACTCCAGGGCAGGGAGGAGCTCAGGTATGGGTGGAGCTGAGGCCCAAAGGTGGTCATAATGCTAACATTTCCCCACTTTGTTGTTTAATAAAAATAGGGGTACCAGGCTGGTGGTATAGGTGGAAGTTGTTTCTTCTATAGCTACTTCCTGCTATAAACGGGTAAAGTAGGGGGTCTGCTTTGTTGTTGGGCCAGAACCGTTCAAGAAGCATCTGCTTGACAGTTCGTTTGGTAAAGGTCCTCCTTTTTCCATGACAATAGTTATTTGAAATCCAAGACATAAAAAAGACAAAATTGTTGTTAAAGTAAAAATTGCTGTTAGTGGCCCAAGAGAGGAATAAGCCAGGGAGGGATTAATTCTCAGAAGGAGCTATCAAAGACCTGAAGTTGTCTTTTTTCTCTTGGATTGGAGACATAGCATGTACCTGACTCCCAGTCATCCTGATGGGGGAGTAAGACCTTTTCTACTTTAGGATCACACTAACCTGAGGAGGAGGTAGCAGAGATATTTAAAAGTTCCAGAGCCAACAGGTGTCATGGGCTCTTTTGGGTACTTCCTGATGGCCTGCGGGCATCAAGGAGTCCCTGGAGCTGGGGTCTTTAGGGTCCCAGTCTAGGCTGAGCAAGGCAGAGCAGTGCAAGTGATGTCTCTGGTTGCCTGTAGTAACAGGATGGCTTTGACTTGTTCCCACGTGATGTCCTGGGTGGGGGATTGTTCTCCTGTTAAAAGAAACTTTTGGAAAGGCTAGACAAAAAAGCTGACAAAGTGACAATGTCAGTTAACATGAATGAAATAGGAGAACATACACTGGCCATAGGCCAGGAAAGTTCCATTTGGAGCATAAGCTCAGTTGTGGCCCATTACAGGGAAGGAAGAATAACTGGACTCCAGGCAGGAAGGGGGGTGTCTAGAGTCTTTTGGGCAACTGGGTAGGGGAGGCATAATGGACTAGTTGGGAGTACCAGTCAGAGACTACTATAAATACAAATAGCAGGTGACAGAGGCAAGACTGTAACTTTCTGTCCAGTTAGAAGGTAGACAGGTATGGACATTAGATGGAGAAGCAACTCTTTTTCTTATCTCCTGGCTCTGATTAATTTTGAAAGGATGAGTGTAAAGTGAATCCATTTAGGATATTATGTCCCCTTACTCCTCTCCATGATTTTCTGTTGTCAGGACTGATTTTGTCTTGGCTGTGGGGGGGGGGGGAGGAGGAGGGTCCTCAGCATCCATTGCTAGGATAGCTTGTCCCAGTTGGTTTCTGTCGGGTTTGGATTCAAGGCTTGGGCATTGTCCTTGAACACTTTTGCTCGAGGCTAGAGCTCTACCACTTAGTCACACCACTTTTAGCCTTCGGTTGGATACTGAGAGGTAAGAGTTTTGAGCCATGCCTCCAGTCTGGCTCTTTGCTGATTAGCTGGGAGATGGAGATTTAGAGAGATTGTTCCTGGGTGGCATTGAACTGTGGCAAAGGAGTCTTTGTCACAAAAGCCCTTTTTATTTCCAATTAAAGCAACAAGGAGATCAATAGAGATAGAGGTGACCTATAACTTGTTAACAATTGACTAACAATTACTTATCAGAGTTTTGTAATAACAAAACCCAGTAGATATTTTTTAAACTGAAAATTATTGGCAGTCTAAATACCACCCATTGCCTCTGGGCAGCGTGCTTAAAGTGGCTTATCAACAACGTTTAACTTTTAACAAATGTACAGACCTTTTCTTGAGCTACAGCAGTGTAGCCTGTTTAGCACATGATCTCAGTTCTACAAACTTTTTCCTTACCAAATGAATTTATGTGACTGGAGTCAGCTCAAGTCACTGCCAATTAGGACTTTAAACAGATACAAGGAGTTTGGGACTAAAATTATCCCTCACATTTTACAACCTTAGCTTTGACTACCCACTATCACAGATGACTGACAAGTTCCTGCCCAGTAGACATGGGCATTAGGCATGCTTACAAACTATCTTCCCATGACATCCTGGCTCTGATCAATTTTTGAAGGTTCAATCATAAATGACTCCAGGATCTGACACCATTTTTGCCATCAGATGTGCTAACATTGCTGGGGTCCCTGGAGTACCTTTCTCCATGCTAGGATAAATGCATCTTTGTCATTCTCCTCAGTCAGTT